GACGTAACAGCTTCGGACCTGAACGCTTGACATAAGGACGCTTGATTGCCGGTATCCAAGCGTGTCGCAAGATTGCCATGCCGAAGCTTGCAATATTCGCCGTTGTTTCCCTTATGGAGAGACGAGCAGCTCGTTTCGAGTACCGAAGTTATAATTTATATCGTGGCGGAAAAACGACGATGGAACAACGCGTAGTCCGTGGCAGCATTGTATCGTAACGCGATAGTTTATGCATTTTTCCACGGAGCTGATCTTTTTTTACGGTTATCGAGGCACGAGCCGTGAATTCCAGTTGAACAGTAAAATTACGATACCCGTTACGATCGCTACGAAATTGTTATCGACCATCCGTTTATCACGTCCTCGGGAAAATTAGTTTTTGTTGTCGCGACATAGTATTATAACCGTTAAAGGTAATGGAATGTTCGATACGATAAATCGCGCGACGAAAGTGGGCCAATGATGTTTATGGCGATCCTCTCTGTTTTGCTTGCTTTATTAGGAGATATTTCATCGAGATCGTAAACCACTCGGTACTACGTGGTACTAAGATTCGGACTAAAGGAAATTTTTCCTGACAAGCACCGGTGAAAATGCATGTGCGATATATCTTCTGTGAGATATAAGGATGCTTTAGAGGGAGATATCGATAACCTGGATACAAATAAATATCGATGAATTAAAATATCATGGAGATACGTATCGCATAAGTGATCATTTTCTTAATAATTTCTCATTGACAGACTCCATAACCTTTCGCGTATCGTTACATTTTTCTTAATTGTAAATTAGATCGTAATCACATTTGCAAGGATAAACTAATTTTCTAACTAAAATTTACTTATCTACATTAATTTCTAACTTTGTAATTAAGTATCTGGTTAACGCGTTGAGTAATAATGTTACTAGTATAGTAGCAATGTTAATGTAGTAATGTACGTTATTGCTCACTGTTACTTCTGACATAAAGATAATGAAATGTTCGTAACGACTTATTTAATTTCACTTTGTTTAGCTTCGTTTCGAATGAAATTTCGTCAAGCTTAATGGAAATTGACAACAGTGAAGATAAAACGGGAAGATTAAATATGTCGAGACAATCAGAAGTTACAGGCTGGCTAAACGTTGTTAGTTACGCGGCAACGAGGTTGAAACGCTCAGGAGTGTTGATTGTCCTGCGTTTCGTTGGTTTATTCAATTAGGTGACTCTCTGGACACCCGGTAGGTGGTCGTTATCCTCGTCTAAAGTGTACGCGTGTAAACCGCGTATAGGGATACAACAAAACTGTGCTGTACGATAAGCCGAATATCTTTGGCTTTATATATTTATGTATCAAACATTGATAAGTGTTGAGGGGAAAAAAACGACGTCGTCGCGCTAGAATATCGAAAATCGATTACCTTCGCTTTACTACCTGGCTTGTATCTACGAGAAGTGGATGCGCATTGAAATAGATTGAATTCGTAGTTGCACCTTCGAAGGAATTTCGAGTCGAAAGTCATATCGACAATTTTTTCGGCTATCGATCGACCTGTGTACCTGCGAAACTTACTTTATTTTATTTATCGTTATTGTTTACTGTTGAAAGTTAGCTGTCGAAGTAATACCATTGGTATCTTAATTCACATTTTAATAAATGTTACTTAGAAACACCAAGATGAAATAAATCATTATTTTTTTTTTTTGTAAGCTCTTTGCGTTTCCTAAAAGTCTTGTCGCTTTTTTTATATGATAATTTTGCGAAGATACAATGCTTGCAGTTTTTTCCTCAAATTTTACTATGAACTTCTCGTACAACCCGATAAATATTCAGTTCCTCGACAACGTTAAACGCTTCGTCCGCGTAATAACTGGCAACAACTTGCTACTCGCGCGATCCGGTTAATCATACACCCTTTACTCAAATTAAAACTGAAGCGCCCTTGAGTAGCTTGCTCGTAGCCAACAGTTCGTAGAACACGCGAAGCCTAACCTAGCGTCGCAGAGAGTTCAGTGTTTGTTCAACATGGGGCTACGCTATATCTGATCTATGCGCATAGAAATTGCGGCGTAAGCTGCGCACCGCGGCGGGAGTAAGTCGGCAGACGGAGATTTAGATTAGACACGGATTAGTCTGGACAAAACTGCAATGTTGGGACCCGTAGATTTCCGGATTCGACCGTTTGGTACACGTCTGCGGATACGTCCTTCCACCGACCGGGCAAATTAGATTGCGAGAAGCACGTGTGTCGCGTGGATACGTCGCGAGACATCTTTGTCGCCTCGGCTTTTCCGCCCGCGAGATAGATGGAGCAAATTGAAACGAGCTTTCTCTTCAGACAAGCTTTGATCCATGTAGAATGAAGTTTGGGGTCAAGATAGAGGGAAATTCAGTAACGAAAGTTTGTCTGACTTGCGAATTTTGGCCACTTGGAAAGCGTTATCTGACTAGAACTTTGTTTCAGCTTTAAATTAATTAACACTTCGACCGTCGGGTTATTCAATTTTTTGGAACCATTAAAACAAGATGAACACGAACCAATAAATTTCTGATAATCCGAATGACTGAGATAACGTTAGGAAAAAGTGTACAAAATTTGATACAATATGATATTTGTAGCATAGTTCGATCTGCTGCGATTGCCAGGGAAAAATATATGAAATTCGCGCGACAGTCAATGAGTCAAATGAATAGAAATGATTTGTTAGCCTGGATGAGATTTTGCTCTAGATGTCAGTGAATAAAATTCGATGGATTTTTCTTCTGTCGTAGATATCAGTGGACAAATTTTCCTCTAGATGGAATTTTCCCCTGCCAATTTGATAATTGTCACCGATTCAAATTTCCTACGGATAAAATTTTCCTCTAGCGATAACTGGAATTTCCTCCTAGAGATGTGATAGTCGTCGGTGAATGAAATTTCCTTTAGATGGAATTTTTCGCTAGCAACGTGACAATCGTTAGTGAATGGCATTTCCATTGAATGAAATTTTTTCTAGCCTTGCGATAGATATCAGTGAATAAAGTTTCCTCTAGCGGTGGAAAAAATCTTTTTCACGTACAATCGCTCCGCAGCTTGGAAAATATTCTTTTCCTAAATTGTCAAGTCAAAATTGCCGCTTTTTCTTCGATTTTGCCTACATAAAAACATGTTCAAACTCGTCAACGAGAAACGATACATAAATTAGCCCTATCAATTGGAACGTGGTGAAATCAGTACGAATTTAGACTGGCAAAGAATCGAATACTTCCGGCTAATGATAGATCGATTAACTGACAGTAAATCGATCCACATTAATGCAAATGGAGCCAGGTCTGATCGCGTTACAACCTCTGGTACACTTGCATCGCTGGCTGAACGTATAAATCAGTCTTAACAACATCGAATCGCAACGTCTAACGTAAGGTCTGTCGTGCTTGACCCTCACCCTGAAAACATTTATGTTACATCCTCTAGATTCAACTCTTGGCTATTTTGCGTCTCTAACAACATAAGCCAAATGTTTGATCCCACCGCCTAATCAGAATTGATCAATCGATTCACGGTGATGAATTGATTGATCACCACGATCGATCAATTTCATCGACCCTCAATACCTTCTCATAATGTTAATAAAGTGAACCGTTTCTGCCCATTTTGCATAGAAATAAAATTATCCTGCGAAGCTTTGTTCGTCTTAAACGTATTTTTATAATTTTCAAAATGTTACAACCTAAATGATACAAGCGAGGATATTTCTTGCCGATTATTTATTCGCTTAATCATAGTAATCTTAATAATATTGTAGTATCGTAACTACTATAATTAATTAGTTTATTAATAATAAATGGATTAAACAGAAAACAACGGTTATTTAACATGAACTAATCGTAAGAACGTATTATAATTAATTAACAACTCTCGTCAACACAGATTCAACTCACTCTCAACAACGCTAACAACACTATCTCGACAACGCAATCCGCACTCTCTGGCTTCTCAACTCATACTGCCGTTAATTCATTTATGTCTCTTAGCAAATCTTCGTCTTTTGTCTTATATCTTTTGTTTAAGCCCCATCATGCACATGCTCAGCAACCGCTTGTTTATAATTCGCACGACACCCCCTCCCCCCCAGACCCCTCGTCCACGATACTACAATATACAAAAGTTCGACGTTTTCTATCTATTAGTAATAGATGTATTTAAATGTTAGGATAAACGACTAGAAATTTAATAGACAATTTGAATGACAATAGTTATAACACCAGACTATGAATTTTTATGAATTTTTTATCAACGCGACTACCGAAATTCCTTTGTTTGTTGTATCGTATAATCCCGTCTGTGAACTTCGTGACAACCAAATGCGGATTTACATTTTTACAGAACGCCATTTGAAGAAATTTTTTTATTGCCTGTGCAATTTGCTCTCTGAACGTTATAAAAAATGCGAATTTCTATTTTCCCGACACGCAGCTAAAGAAATTCTTCTATTTGCAATATAATTTGCTCTCTGAACTTTATACGAGCTAGCAGATGAATCTCTAAATGCCAATTCCCCGATCGTCTCGTTAGTACGAGAGTAACCATTTGCATAGTAGCAAAATCAATTGGAAAGCGCGTATCTCTCGATATCCATCGAAGCGTAGCTTTCAAACTTGATCAACTTCCGTGCACAACAAACTGGAAACAAGCCGCGGTATTTATACCGTAGCGCTCAATTTCCCTGCAAAAGAATGCAAAAGAAACCGCAAAACCGCGAAAGCCAGTATCCAGAATGAAGTACATCGGCAACTTTCTTCCCCTTGCAGCCCTCGGTCCTTTCCTCGTGGTCGCGTGTGGCTAAAGTAAACAAAGAGAGGGCTCGTTGCAATGCAAATTCACGACGGTTCTCGCGATTACAAAGCCATTAAAGAGCAGCCTATGCAAATGAGAGCGCGTTATATCCCTCCCCGTTATCGTTTTTCTCGCGCTTCTCTCTTGTGTCTTTTTTCCTTTCGTCCTTTTCTAACTCTTGGCCGGGCTTTCCTCTTCAGCTACTACTTGGCAACGACGGAAGAGGAGTCGGCGGTGCAACATTTGTACAGGATATCCACGAAGACCGATGGAGGGCGGAAACCAAAATGTTTAAGCTGTGGCATCGTACGGGAAACCGATAGGAACCGGTGCCTCTACAATACCGCGAAATTTTCCACGGATCATTCGCATTACGTGCTCACTTGCGCTGGACCTGGAGTGCCTGACATCGCCATTTACAACAAGGTGAGTTTAAACTACGTATAGGTACGTATGGGTAGAAAGTCGTACACTTGAAACATTTTGGTCGCGCGATGTTTAATTCCAATTTTTGAAATTTTACTGTCAAGACGCCTTATCGATCTCTGCAATATAATCTAATTTTATGAATTTCCTCCGCTGTTTGTTTCGTGGAGTTAATTAATTATGCCACGATAAAATTTATTCCGAGAAAGATGATATTTATGATCGATATATTTATTTATCGTGAAGTAATCTTATTATCTAAGGCTAATAGAGATTAGCCTCGATCCCATTGAGTGTCAAGCTACAGATAAAATAGAGAAATTTCTGTCAAATTGATAAAGAGACTATCGCGATTAAATCTCACAATAATATTTAACGCCTGCAGTCTACTAATGGAGCATAGAATCAAAACGGTAATTACTAGCGTAATTAGTATCGAATTAATCATGAACTAACCACTGACTGTAATCGGTGTTTGTATCCATAATTCGTTGCGTGCATGCAGCGACTATAGAGTCGGCGTTAGAGATAAAAGGATTAAAAAGTTTCAAATTGAAATCCACGTTCGAAGGAGCGGAAAATTCTTCGATATAACAATACGACAATAGCTGAACGGAAGAATAATTCGTGTTCTTTCGAAATTTTGCTTGGTATCTCACTCTTGCTTCACGCCTCGACAAAATTGGCAGACGTATTTCACCGGTGTGAGATATTCCATCTCTGAGGCCCGAAAGGTCTCGAATCCATTTCAACTGCCGCGAAAATCTGTTTGCCATGGATTCGCCGAATTTTAATCCCACACATACGACATAATTTTCCCTAGCTACGTTTCCCTCTATAACTCACGCAAATATATGTATTTCGTCGTTTCCCACTGGCAGCTCCCTTCGGCTGACTGAATAAACGAACTAGCTGACATGTTTCGCGTCGGTTCTTCGCTAAAAAAACGCAGACCAGTCTGGTAGAACGACAATGACGCATTTCTTTCAAAATTAATCAATTGTTGTATACAAAATTTTCCAGCGTTCACGAGTCTCGGTATAATTATTACGTTTGTACGGCATTCGTTCTTCCAACCTGTTAATTTCAAAGTAATTTGGGAGATCGTAACACACACGAACAACAAGGAATAATTAAAAGAACAAGGAATTAATTAAATAACAACAAGGAATAATTAAAATCTTGCGAAGATGTTGATTATTAGCGAACAATGGATGTTAAGTCCATTGATATTTAGATCTTCAGAAACGCGTTTGCAAAGCAATTACGATTTTGTTCGATCTTAAAGTTTGCTAAAGCGCAGCACAAATTGAAAGGGAGCCGATGATCAAAACCTGACCTAAATCCTGACGTCTGAGCAACAAGAGCGGCGAGAACGAAGAAAGAAACGCGAAAGAATTGGAAGATTCGATTTCTAGGGTCGTTCGGTGCATAAGCAACGGCCACCGATAAATCGTCGATCCTCCATGGGCCGAATGATTTGTCAGTGTCCAGGAAGCGGTGGCGCTCGGGCCACCTCGACGGTTCTCTATCTATGTTTTGTGCTGGCGCTTATTGTCAAAGAGTCACCTCCTCGTGGGAAAGCGAGGCGAATAGACGCGACAGATTTAAACGCGCGAGTAGAACCGGCGACCTGACTATCCGGTATCCTCGATAACCCGAATTTCCAGCGCCGCCACTAAAATCTTCTTTACCTCTCAGCGCATCGTTCGCAGAATTTCAGCCTGGCGAGCTTTATTCAAACGATCTGTCTCGTCTCTAACCATACCGGTGCTACCATCGAATTTATTTGGAAATATTGAACTTATAGGAAAATAAAATATTGAAAGTCGGATTGTAAATCCTGGCGATTCCTTCCGATCTTATTCCTTAATACTTTTCCTGTCTGGAACTTTCTAGCATTTATTTCACTTTCCACGGATAATATCGTGAAAGAGGTCGTAAATGTCTTTTAATGTTTTTGACTTACTACAATTCAGCACGATTACGCAATTGAATGAAATAAACTCAAAGTCGACCGTGAGTTTTGACAATTTTCTTTCCATCTTACGCCTCTTAATCATTTCCATGTAATTTCTATTCGTTGTTTTTCTCCTCCGGCATTTGCTTCTTCTTTCGTTGGGTAATATCGAGAAACGATCGTAAAAATGGTTAATTTCGATCGATGTTATTACGAATTTAATAGAATCAAGATTCCTGATGTTTCCTAGCGTTTCTCGATGGATCTTGGTTCCAACCATCTGTTTCCTTTCAACGAGTGGTATTCTACGATAGGAAGTTTGTAATTTTAATTGAATTTCGTAATTTCCATAACCCTGGCCAACGTGGCCGCTATCTTAGCCCCACGAGGAGCTTTTTCTCGTTCTTCGCGGCGAGTTTCATTTTCTCCGAGCATATTTAAAAGCGTGGAAAGTTTATTTGGAAATATTCAAACGAAAATTGAAGTTATCGCGGGCTGCAGTTTTGTTTCGTCCCTGCTACCGCCCTCTCATCCCCCTTCTCGTTCAACTCTCAACCGATCGAATTTTAATTTAATTTCTTAATCCTGCTCGTTTAAGCTCGCTTCACCACCGTCTTTTGCTCCGTCGCGAGCGAAACGTTTTATTGCTCTCTCCTTCTTTTTCGCTCTGTTTCTTTTCACTTTCCCCTCTCATCTGCCGGGGCTTCTGAAAATTTCTATGAAAGTATTAAAATTTAATTGTATACCTTTTAGCGAGAAATACGTAACAAAGAAGGGAACGACCGAGAAGGAAGGATGGCGGGGCTGTTATCCAATGAATTCTAAAATTATCGCTTTTAACCGTATCGCCAGCATCAGAGAGAACGAATAGAGTATTAAACAATCAGGTTATATGCTTTATAATCGTTTAACAAATCGCCAGCAACAACCTCTAACGGTTCGCTGCGAGGGAAATACGATACCGTTATCAGTTCGTCGAATTAAATAAATTTTCCCGCCGTTTAACAAACAGCAAACACGATTCGACTAGCTCAGCCATTTTGTTCCATCTCCGTGATCACGCGTACACGAGTTTCGATGTCCGACAACGATTACGTGCATACGTAATTGCATCACTGCGTTATTCGAAATCGATACGCGCTGCAATTTTTAGTTTCATACTTATTTACTTTGTAAAAATTTATTCGACGACTTTTCCTTTTTACAGAAATTTTCTTCGCTCTGCTTTTCGATCAGTGCTAGTTCACTCAAAGGATGGGCTTTGAAAGTGGTCTTTGGATTATTTTGTAGAATTTGAGCGGAATTATCATTCGACGGTTTCTTTAACCCAAACTTTACGTTTTCGTTACACTCCAGAGTTACGATTATGCGTAATTACTATAACGCGGATATTTATCCAGTTGAAAGAAAATTTGAAAGTGGAAAATTATGGAACACACATAGCATGGAAAAATATATAAGATATTGGAAGTATAGCGCTTGCTATATTACTTGGTAGGTGAAAGAATTTTCTAGCGAAATTCTAAAACATGAAAATCACGTTCGTTACACTCCAGAGTTACGATTATGCGTAATTACTATAACGCGGATTTTTATACAGTTGGAGGAAATTTGAAAGTGGAAAATTATATAAGATATTGGAAGTATAGCGCTTGCTATATTACTTGGTAGGTGAAAGAATCTTTTACCGAGGTTCTACCTTCTTAATTATATTCTAGAAAATATGAATTTGCATAAAAATCCGCGGTCTAATAACAATCACTTTACCACAATATACGAACAATTTTATTTTTTTAAGCAAATTCGCTTACTGCATAGCGGTAACAAAGGATTTTTCATTCAGCTCTTCGCTCTGCTTTCATAGAATAAAATATTTCACTTCTAAAAACAATGATCTAACCAAGTATACAGGCTGACGTTTCTCAACGTTGTAATTCGATAGCTTATGCTGTGTTTCATAAATATGAAAATTATAATGCGCTCTGAAAAATCAAACAGATCTGACAAAATATGTGAAATTCAAACGAATCCGTAACTGGTTCGATATAAAGAGAGAAAATGAATTTGTCCGCCTAATGCTTCGTTCGTGCTTCTTTACTTTTTGATATCATCGAAACGTAAAGTTTCCTTTCAATAAGAGATGCGAGTATTCTATTACATTCCAAAATATCAAATAGGTACAAGTTCACAAGAATTACAGCTCGAGTTTCCTCTGACAACTACGATGGTATTCCAACGATGAAAGTTTCATCCGCGTAGAACTCGAAAACGTTTCCTCGCGCCTCGATTCCAACACTCGAACTCGCACGCTTCCAAAACACTTGCGTATCAACTTTCGATCTGCTGCTCCCCTGCTCCTCAACTTCTAATAGGTCAAACGGAAACTTTCAGTGCTTTCTCAAATTCCTTGCAGCCGTTGCAATTTCAATAAACAGTCTCGTTTCCCTTCTAAGTTTCGGCACTCGATTTGTGTTGCGTATCAAAGGTACGAGGGAAACCTGTAAAAAATGCGGCAGATGTTCGTCAATTATCTTTAACCATATCAAATGTGTTACTATGCCGCGAATATCTACGCAAACGAATATTTTCATAAAGATCATGAAGGAATTGAAACCTAAACAGAAATCTGCTTTATCTATTAAATGTCATAGTGTGTACTCTGTTTTGGATGTTCTGTATGTGTTCGTAAAAGTTGGTATCGAACTCGAAAAGTGCATAGTGCTGGCCAAAATCAGCAAAAGGGTCCAAAAACCATTAGTTTTCAACTTACGAGATGCTTGGCGCATAAAACTATAATTTATAGCGTACAGCTTCGTTGAATGAGTTGATACAACGAATCGTAAACTTCTGCCAAGTGATAAAAGAGAACTGCCGGGCATCTTGCGAGACGTGCGTGCATCTACGAGCAGACGCGTAGAAGTGTGCGCCGAAACGAACGAGGAACGTATCGAACAATACAGTGACAAAAACTTGTCGTAATTCCAAAATTAATAGTTTTCAGACACTTGCTTATTCAGATATTTTTGCTCGTTTTAACGACTATGCTCCTGAAGCTTGGCACCAACCGTAAACATCCTGTGGGTGCATTCTGTGCATTCTTACACCTTCGATTTGATAAAAAAAAATTAACGGCCTATTTATCGCAAGGCGCGTACACTACAGCGAATTATTAAGTTTCCTGCGTTCTCAAGCGTCTTTCTGCAAACGATCCTCAAAAAAATGTATGTATTATAGCACTTTGTTAATCGGTAGGTAAGTTACACGAAACCGATACGTACCAACAGTGTCTAATTTCGTTATAATCCAAGAATTTCTTTCCCGCACATTTTTACCTTCGTATTTCGTTGTAACCAGAAGATTCTATTCATAGGACTCGCGGCGCAATCGTACGGAGCAAAATCGACATGTAGAACATCGCGCTTTGATCTTGCTCGACCGTACACTTCTACATTTTATCGCTAAAATGAAAAATATTAAATGAAGATATAAAAAGTGGAGGATCGTACACTTAAATGTACAGATCGCAGCGTACACTTAAATCTACAATTTTGCGTGAGTTTCTCACACTCGAAGCTAAAGTTCGTTCAAGCGGAGAAACGATGAGAGGCGTCTTCGCGAGAGAAGCATCGATTATCCTCGAGCTGGTAATTGGATTATCGCTCCTGGGTAGGTGTCGAGGGATGGCGTTTGTCTCGATTGACAAAAACGAGCATGGAAAAAGATGAGAAAAAGAGAAGAGGAGGAGGAGGAGGAGGAGGAGGAAGAGGATTCGACTATTCGGCTTGTCGAGGCGGCACGATTACAGCCGATAATTGGCTTTCCTCGCGGACAAACGCTGTAGACTCTGGGAGAGACTAATTTCCTTTTCCTCGAAGGAGAACCCAGCCGGCGGAAAGTGTTCTTTCTGTTCTTGCCGTCCATTGGCGAACAATCATGGCGGACAGGGGAGGAAACACTTTGCTCGGTGACGTTGGATCGACGGGGATTCCACGAGCAGACGCGATAAGTAGCTGATAAGAATGAAATTTTTGACGGTGCTAGAGACCCGATAACGCGAACCGTGGTTTTTATGATACGCTAAACGATCGTACGAATAAATCTAATGGTGGAAATTTAATGGCGTGAGAACGCTTCGTCGCTTATCAGAGCTTGATGATGAATAACTGAATATTTTTCGTTCTGAGTTATCATATTTTGGAGAGTCGCGAAAAGTGATTAGTCTAATGCTATTCTGCTTTCGAATGATTTATGGCGTGGGTACTTATGTCGGACCGCGTGTGTGATCAGCGAAAATCGCGCCCTTGTTCGAAGCTTATCTTTCGAGTAATAAATGATTTAATTTCACGGTAAGCAATGTCTAATTAGATGTGGAGGAAATAGAGAGGAACGGGCGAAAGTCAAGATAAATGGCCGCGCGGAGAGCGAAATTTACAGAAAGAGAAAGTGAGTGGTAGAAAAGATATATAGACTGCAGGGATGTGTGAAGAAAACACAGGAAAGGAGTGGACACTAGTGGAAATAAATTGAAGTCGATTGACTGATTTATTAGATTTCTAGAAACTTGAGTTTTAGGGCCATCGATCTTTTATCATCTCGACTGCTTAATTGAATACTCAGAATGGTAATTTATATTTAGTAATCTTATTCTATTTATCTTGATGGTCCCTCGTAGAGTTATTTTTCAATTAATAAAAAGTTTCTTATATTCGATGAAAACGTGCCAGTAACTATCCCTTTCGATTTTAAAGATATGCCAAAGATATTTCCAGATTTTAAAGTATCGAAAGTCATTGTGTTTGTTAAAACGAGAACAATATTGAAACATAAAAATCGAAGAGCTGCATAAAGGCGAGGAATTCAAAATGAGGAATTCAAATTTTAAATATTACAAGTTCTTACGTCCAAAGACGTCGGAGAAGCGCGAAAGCAACGAAACAGACGCAAATCGTGATCTCCTGTATCGAATTTATCCCGCGATGTCCCATCGAGATTCGAATATCAAAGGCAAGAAAATGAGAGTGATTCTATCAACTCATACACCAAGGTGTTGGTCTGTTCGGGCGATTTATAAATTTTGAATCAATCGCGTGGAAACTCTGGAGAAGCGAGTCAGTAAGTCTATGAGCCGACTGGAAGATTAAACGAGCAGAATAATACATTAAATTCGGCGATGGTTCTCGCCTGACGTAAAGCGTATGTACGTGCTCGACGTTGATGCATGATGGCTTAAAAGTTGGGTCATCTGTTCATAAGATCGCAGGGCAAAGCCTTCGATTTTAAGTCGCCGCGATAAGGGTTGAACTTTGTTTTTCACATGAAATTTGTCTTCTATCCTTTTAACATGATATTTCTTCATTTGGTGGAAATATATGTAAAACGTCCAAATAATATTCATTATAGTAATACGTGGAATAATTCTCTATCCTAAATTTCATTTTTCTAATTATCTTAATAAAAATATGAATTCGCATAAACATTCGTAATTTATAAAAACGGAAAAAATGGAGAGTGTCAAGTCTGAGCATTTTTCAAAAAAGCAAGATATATTTTTCAATATACATATAATGCCACCACGTTTAATTCCCCCATAAATGTTATATCAAAATAGAACGTGCTATTCCTCGCTCGATCCTACATAATTTTCAACTGTTTCTTGCGATTTTGCGCAAAAGGTACGTCGTACGTACACCTCAATTTCTAGTAAAACCACCGTAAAATTTAGAAAATTTTTATTCGGATTCGTACGACATAGCCAGCGATAAAAAGACAATCGCAAGAGCGTACGATCAAACGTTACGTTGAAAATTCTTTCGTTGAAAATGAAAACTGACATTGCTCGTTGTTCCCGTGGACCTTTATATTCCAAATTGAAATTGATTTGCCTCTTATTACGTTTTAATTTTATAATGAGATTCTTGTTAAAAGAAAATCCAATTAACAGATTAATCTACAAAGTGTAGTCTCGTATCGTTAAATCTCGAAAATTCACAGAACGTGAACGTACGAAACCACGAATAAGAGATAACATAAACTCTGCTGCTGTTTAGTATTCTTTCTTCTATTTCCACTGTCTCGCGAGATATATGTTCCTCGTTGAAATAATTCCTCGAGGGTTCGTAAAACGAAGAAGAGAAGGCTTAAAGAGAGAAAATTGGCGAAGCTGGCGGTGGAAAGCTAGTGGACTAACTACTTAGTAGATTCTATCAAGAACAGTAGATGGTAAATCGAAGCAGTATGTGTGTGTAAGAATCGACGTGTAGGCGAAAAGTTCAGGGAATAGGAATCGCCGTGGAAAATCCTCTGGCGGCAGAAGGTGGCGCCGTGTAGTAAAATAAGGGTAAATTAAGGGTCCAAGTTCGAAGAGGTCCTCTGAGAGGATGGCGAGACGCCTTTCGGTATCGATTGAAACTTAGACGCCACTGTTTTTCTACCAACCATTCCCACCCGCTATTTGGATAAATATTGAACGACCGTGAACCGAGAATCTTCGATAGCTTCTAATACATAGAGCACTGAGCAAAAATCTTGGGCCATCTACCAAATGGTAATACTTTAGCTTTAGAGACGAGTAAAAAAATAAAACGAAAGCGAGGAGACAGAAAAATATTACTTGGCTAAAGATAATTATCACGTTTCGGCAGCAACGATTCTTATGCAAATGCCGTTGAATAATTTTTTGCCAGAGCTTACTCTGTTACAATTTTACTATTCAGGTTATTCAAAAAACTTTCTTTCTTCTCTTAACATGGTTTCAATGAGTCTACGCGTATTTTATAATTAGTATGACACTCTATTGAAATATTCCTATAAGAATTTATGTATTCGTGATATCAACAAAAATTATTATAAGCAAGATTTTTAGTTTCTTTGGTATTTGAACGTATTCGAAAAGAATATCCAGGATACATTCTTGGTACACGTTTTGCTAACAAAGATCTTAGAATGAAATAACGAAATAATCCTAAGAAAATTGCATATTGTCCTCGCCTACGGAAAGGGAGGATCAACAAGATATTAATATAATATTAAATCTATTTTGTACGCTAGTGCTTCGTAGTTTCCCCGCGTTCTCTTCATAATAATAAGCGTAATGAACTCTAAACATACATTTTCATCTGTACCGTTTCTCATGTACATCAAAATTCCCCAGTTTTAAACATGCATTTAAATTCAACTAGTGTAAAATTTAATATCAAAGAAATTCCTGAAACTAACGGCTGATACCATTTATGATATTTCAAACATAATAAATGTATTTGTACCGATAACAAAATTCTATGAAATACGGTAAACGTAATTACGAAAAACGTAAAACTACATAAAATACCACCTATAACACTAATATAATAAAAATGAAACTTAATCCACCTTGGAAAATTGACTTTCTCTACATTATCTCTATGGGAACGATGTTTGTCACATTTCCATGCAATTCGCTCTTTCAGGATTCTTCGAAGTTGCTGGCATGGGAGGAGAACGAGGCGGTTTCCGAGATTATCGCGGAGAAATCGCAACCGGTGGTGCGCCGTTACAAGGTGCCGGTTCCCGGAGGATTTGAGGCCCGTGTCAGACTACTGATTCCACCAAATGCTGATTTGTCGGGCGCCACCAAATATCCCATGCTGATTTTCGTGTGAGTAATCTCATTTCTGCACACGGATAGACAGACACAGGGTAACCGGGTTCGTAAGACTAAAACCACGAATAAAATCAAGGAGTCCTAGAGGAAGGTAGTTAAGAAGTTACTATTTGAGTCATGCTACAAAAGGTTAAGAAAATATTACGACGCTTTTAACACTTTTGGTACTTTCTAGCGGTCAAAATAAATGGAAATTGGTTTGTGTTTAATTTAGAGACGCTCGCCATAGGAGACTCCTACATCCATATCGTCTGTATTATGTAAAAGATTTTAAAGTTTTATTAATACTGTAACGAGATACAACTGTTATAATTATATTGGTTATATTTAAAAACAATCTAAAAATGTATGTATTAAAAGCTACGAGGTATTTATTGCAAACATACATATTCAATAAACAATCTATATTAAAAGAGAATAGACATTTTAAACATATAACAAGTGTTAAATTAATAATGATAATGGGTAATTAATTTTAGCGATCTCTACGAAATATATACTTGCGTTAAATATCTTGTAATTTCTACGAATACCCTTAGGTTGGTTTCAAACTTTACCAATATAATCTCGATAGTCGAGTCTCATAATAGTGTTAATGACATTTCTAAACGTTTCGTATAACACGCACAATATATTCATAACGGTGTCTGCAAGTATTCGAATTTCATTATTCTATGGAAAGTTCGTAATTGAATATTAAGATGTTAAAGCTTGAGTGACTGAAATAACCCTTCCTTACTATATATCTCTCTTCCCTTTCGTTCTGCTTTCTTTTTTTTCTGTGTAAAAATAGAGAAAACGTTTAAAATCGAGCTTGATTTCCCTGGATGTTCCGTTCGCGCAGTTGTTCCTTTTTTTTCCGCGTATGCAAATGCTGGAGGCCGCCATGAATACGCTTTAATGTCTTCGAAGCGGATCGGAATTATTCGTGCCGAATGGAGAAAAAGAAAGAAACGCGCGCGGAAAATACTCGGGTGGCGCGTTGGCCGCGTCACTAGCAGCGTGTCATTTATCAAAAATTTTTTGCCGCCATCTGCCCTATCAGTAGGTGTCGTGAAACGTTCGGGAATATCGTCGTGAAATTCATTCGACTCCGTGTAAACGCGCCTTCTGAATTTTGATGAATCCGCTCTGAGATTTAATTAGCGAGTCGAATATGAAAATCGAGGTCTCGCGTAAAACCGCCGCGTATTCTTTCCGTATGTCCCACTGATGAGTCGCATAAATCGATTAAACGAACCTTGTTCCCCTCGATTTTTCTTTGGTTCATAAGCACGCAATAATATCTTTGCCGTTAAGAAACGCAAAATGCATAAAAAGTAGACGTAAAATTACAATATCTACAAATATTCAAAAATACAATATCCGCTGCAATATAATTTTTATTTCGAGTTATATTAATCGGGAGAGAATAGCAGAGTTAAATCCGAGATTTTTCTTGGTCGAACGTTTGCCGAGATATACGAGAGAAACGACGAAAAGAAAGAAAGAAAAACGAATAAAGTTGCGACGAATTGTTGGACAGGTTAATTGATAAATTTGATCGAGGCCGAACTCGGCCAGACGTTAATTCGAGTTTCGAAAATTGGATTGTACGACGAAACTCGTTGCAAACGAATTAGACTGTGTATAAATAGAAACGCACGACTCGATTGAATGATTGAATTAAAGTGAATAATTGAATTAGATTTTCTTCGTCTATTCGGCTGAAATTGTTTGATAATTGTCTGACATTCGTGTGTGCGTGCTGCTATTGGAAATAGAAAATTTACAGTCTCCAGCAACCAAACGTCATAAATTCGATTATCCAACTCTGATTAAATTAAAGATAAAAAGGGAAAGGGCAAAAGCGAAACTACATAATTTCATTCGATCGTATTTTGACAAATATTATCCGCGCGATGTTATACGCTCGTAAATTCAATCAAAAGATCAAATGAAATTTATTGGAGATACCGAACCTCATTACATCGATATATTACATTATAGCAATTCATAATGGCGTTACACGATGTGACAATTTATTCATTTCTTATAAATACCACAGTATATCATTTAATTATCAATTAGTTAAATTGTTGATGCATATAATTTATATTTCTCATACTACTACTTCAGAATCTTTTCCATATTAATGGCAATATCATCTCTTCGATAATGTTTCGGTCTGATCAAAATTGCGTTATACTACTTCCTATAAGCTTTCCTCGCGAATAAAACGTCATTAGCTTGGATAGTATTTAACTTACATTTACGTAACGTGTTCGACGTTACAACTTTTCACAAATTTCCTCGAAAGTTACAAATATTTTTATTATTTTTTAAAACGGATGAACTTCGCAAAGCAAACTCATCGCGATAATTTGTATTGCAAATATCGTCGACTGTTCTACCAATTCTGAAACAAACTATACACCTCAGCCTGATCTGATCCAATCTCTTCGCAATGCTATAACCCCAGGAGCAATAATCATCCACCGGAGTATTTGAATTTATCAGGAATTTTCTTGCGACAGATACGGAGGTCCAGATTCGTATCAAGTCACGGAGAAGTTCAATGTCGATTGGGGCACGTACCTTGTAACGAACAAGAGTATCATCTATGCAACGATCGACGGCCGTGGTTCCGGTCTAATGGACAACGGCATGCTGTTCGCTGGATATCGAAACTTGGGAACCGTCGAGATCGCTGATCAAATCAACGTAACCAGGTGAGCACTGTCTAGATTCCTTCCATAAAAGAAGAAGCCTGGTTACTTTGCATGCTACACCGCCTGATACTGTCGAGTTTATTTCGCTCTTTCGTAAGGCATCTCAAGTGCTGATAGAATTGTAATTTCAACTCGAGGACCGAACCTAATTCGAGCCGATCTCCTGAACAGGAAGTTTCGATCCTATAACGCGATTGTAATTCTGTTTTAACGAGAGTATCCTAAATCGATTTACTATAAATTCGTCGTCTCTGTATCTAAAAAGAATGTTTATTAAAAGTTTAGTAAAAGTTACGAAGAACCAAGGCTATTCGCGAAACGCGGGAGACTTTTTTACTCGTGATCGGTTTTAGGCACCGTGTATATAAAGGGCTGGGATTAATCGGGTTGGCCGTTAGAAAAACCGTGTTTGCATCTTAAACGGGACAGTGCTTTAAATTTTAAATATGCCGGGTGTAATTTGCTTTTTTCATCAGGGAATATTGGCGGTGTCAGTGATTCGTGGTGGATGTGATGGTGAAAAATGCAAATGGATTTTAATGTCGTAGTTTCATCGTGTGCCGTTCGCAGCGGCTTTGATCGCGACGCCCCTAATTTCGTTGTTCTACGATCCATTCCCTGTCACGCTCGCACCCTCCCATTTTCTCTATTTACATGTAAAATGTCCCCGGGTGCAATTTATCGAGTACCGCTTCCGGTCGCTTTAAATGCAAAAAGACGCACTGCCCTTGTTATTCTATGCATTTTTAATGCTCGTACGTCAACAAAAGGGAGGCCGATTTATATTTCTGCGGGCTGGTTGGTTTTTTATGATTTCGAACGACTCTGCGAACCGATATTGCGGCCGACATCGAGATAAGTCAATTTATGACGTGCCCCCACCCTTCTCTGGCTCGTTTTCTTTTTTCCTTTCACTTTTCTCTCTCTCTCTCTCTCTCTCTCTCTCTCTCTGTCGATCGGTTGATTTATTCGATTGATAGAATGCGAATTTAACAGGTGCTGTACAAATTTAACGCCGTTTTATCAAACCAGCCAACCGCTGCGCGAATGTTACACTGCAGTCAGCTCTGTAAATCGAAGTCCTCGAAAGTATCGTCAGCGACGTAGCATGAATTATCCTATTTAAAAAATGATCCAAGTTACTCTACTTTTTGACGTTCTAAAGGGCCAGGATTTTGAAAATGAGTTGAAAGAAAAATTTGTTAGTTGCCATTTCATATAAATTGTGCAACGTCGTGTAAAATTCTTGGTCTAATTAATAAATAAATGTATCTCATAAGAGAGGCAAATTAAGCGATAAGTTAATATAATCAAAAAGTTGAAATTTAGGTAGAAAATTACTCTACCTATTAAATATTGTGCATTGTTATATATTTCATATATTTTTGCATATTACGTGCATTTTGAGTATTTTTATATCTCTGAAGTTCTTTTAAATTCATAAATATCCGTAACCTAGTCATCTTTTAGAAATAATTAAAGCGAAAACGAGTAGAGAATCCATTGTATTATTCTCGGTTAGTATAAAATGAATATTTATCGTAAATCCATTATTCGAGTCTTCTGTTATCTCATTAAATTTCCTATAAATGCGCAAGCAGTTTCGACTCGCAGTTTCAAGATAACCATCATAAATAAGCTAGAAGTTCTATTTGCACAGTACTGTATATTTATCTCCAAAGTTCTTCAAACTCGAAATTCGGAATGAATTAATTTCGAGTCGAACTGTACTAACACTGGTCGCTCGAAACTACAATAAAAACGAGCGAGATGGACAAAATTACACGTGAATTCGTGGGACAGTGATCACCAGCCAGCAGAGAGGGTTAGAATGGGGCGAAAAAGTTGCCAAGCATCGTCGCGGCGCGGAACTGAAACCGCGACGCGTGCAAAATTAACGACGCAGAAACGACAGCCTCGTTTTTCGTCTCGCCCCCGTTCCCCACATTCTCCAGCCTCGAAATTCAAATACTTCTATTTTTCTTTTGCGTCGCGCAACACATCCACGAGCTGCTGGCTACCATAGAACGAAGAAACGCGAAAAAGACGCGATTTTTCGAACAGCGCGAACAACAGAGTAAATGGTTGTGGGTTTCTTAGAATTCCCAGTGCAGCTAGCTAGCGAATCTAATTATAGGGGAACCGTTCCGTCGTCGTGCCAGACGCTGACTTATCGCCAGCCGACGCGGTAATCCGCTAATCCACCTAACAAACTAGCGCCACGACGAAACCTTACTACTCCAACGAATTCGTGTCGCCGCGATGAGTCTCCTTTCTTTCGTGATCAATTTGGAATTAGTTTGGCACAGTCTATAGGTCTGTGGATTGTTGCTGGAATGAAAATTTATTTTTATTATAAATATTTATAGAGAAGTGGTAAATTAATACTGAAATAACTAAAGTGACTAAATTATAATTTTCAATCCTTATCCTTAATATTAGAGTCTTTTATTTCTGGGCATCACTTTCATTTCAACCAAGAAGAAACCTTGTACGATTGGAACGAGAATTCGACAATTCTCGTGTTTTCCTCACACTTGAGAGATTTTCTACGGATCGAAAGATACAATCCGATGGAAAACTGTCGCAAGAAACAGAGCTGAAGTTGCCTAAACTTCGAAGAATACATCTTTCAACAACCAGCCAATGTTCTCTTCTCCCTGATATCTCCAAAATTAAATCATGTACCCTAAACGATCTTCGTTTTCTCGATCCCATTAATCACCAAATGTATACCCCCCCAAGGAGCTTCCTCTAAAATTCGAGCAAAAGAAAACAAGAAATCGATCAGGGGTAGTAAAATCGATAGAAGCGACAGTTTATCGGTCAATTGCACGAGGAGGCGCTTATCTTCCGGCAGTTATTGATTCCGGTTCGGTTATCTTGAGGGAGGATCGCCGTCGAAACGGCGGACGGATGCACGCGGAGAACCGTGAGGTATATTTCGTGGGATGGTATTCAGCGTTCTATGGTCGAGCAGCGCTTCTGTTGGCCAACTTAGAAGCTGGTATCCACGTTGCAATGTTTTGCTGGCGCGTCGCAGCGCGTTCAGCCAGTAAAAAGCGAGTCGTGAAATTGGAAGCCAGCCAAGCGATTGCGGAATCGGCTAGCTCTCTTTAACCTTTGGCTTATTGCACGGGGTGTTGTCGAGCCTGCGTCCCTGTCACCATCCTCCAACCCTCTTTATTTCATTCTTTGTCCCTCTCGTTCCTCGATTCTTCCTTCTTTCGCGCCTAATTTTTTACCTCTCTTTCTTCTTGTCCTTCTTTTTTACCCTTTTTATTTTCTTTCATTTTTCATTCGTTATTTTCTATTCCCCTTGCTCACTGTCTTTTTTTTCCAAGCATAACTCCACACCCACATCGTTCGCTTTTTTATCGACGTTTCTCTTCCCCCAGTGTCGCCCCTCTTTCAGTTTTGCTTCTTCCCTCCCTTTTCCTTTTTTCGTCTCTTTTTTCTTTCCTGCTCCTTCGGCCGATTCGCGATTCCTATCAATCTCTCTCTCTGTCTGTCGTTTGTTCTAGCGATGGGAATGACATCCTCACGATGGATTCCGACAGGAAATGGTTGATAGAATCGATAAATAAAAGAGCTTCTTCGGAGGGGTTATCTTCGATGAGACGAGAAAGTAGGGAGATTTGTTGTTACTAGATGGCGGATATTTATGGGGATTCGTATTTTTAGGGGCATTATTTATATAATGGAACGTTGGTAGAGAGTCGTTTGACGTATTCAATATTAAATTAGGTGTTCTAGTGTGGACAGGGATGATTAATTAAGGCACTTACATAGGTTGAAAATTAACTAGTTTAAAAAATTCGAAAAACTCTAATTTTGTAGAATTTATCGTGCGAAAAAGAAGAATACTGGATTGGCTTTGAGAGCCGTAGTGACTTGGTTCAGTTGCTGAAACACCGTGTATATTCCAGAATATATTCTAGATTATTATCAACGTAGCAGCAAAAGACTAATACAAAGATCATCAGTACTTGTATACATACAACCAATTTGAAATTTTCTCTTCACCACTGTAATATTTTTATCGACGAAACAAATCTCTGCTTGAAAATTCTAATTTTGTCTTCGTGAAAGTAGGAATTTGCATAAACATCTCTAGCCTGATTATTACATTTTCTGTAGAATATCAAATATTTCTCTGGCTACATCTCCTGTTTTCATTATATTTTATTTCATATATATATACTCTATTCATCACAAAATATTTTTGCACCATAGTATTCCGTATAATATTTTTTTGAATGAACCAAATTTCTTCTATTTCCCGAATTACGTAGCTTCATAAAAATACGAATTTCCACAAACATTCACGGTCTAATTATCACGTTCATTATAAAATACCCAGTATACCACCAACTATGTCGTCTCTTATTTTCGTTACATTCTTGTAATTACAGAAAAATTCTAGCTAATCCCTAAAAAGGTGCAATTAAATAATTCCTAAAAAATGTTACACGTTTATCCGCGAAGAAATGGGTCGAATAGAATTTCCAGAAGAACCACCAAATTAGTTTCATCAGTATCTAACCTGTGTCGTGGTTTCACGCGCCCCTATTCTTCCACCCTTGTCAGCTACTCTGGAACTCGTTTTCCCAGTGGTTTTTTCCCGGCCTTTGTTCCGTCATCGAACCAACGATGTTGCTGTTCCTGGTACGCTTGATCGGTGAATAACCGACCCTGTGATCGAGAGATAAATTCTTTTTTCCATCGGGGCTCCGAGATCCATTTAGGCGCGGATCGAAGGGGATGAATATTACGTTTACATCGGGGAACGATGAATTCGACACGATGTCTCTACATGAATAGCAGCGGGGTTTCGTTCCAGCTTTCGTTTTAGAAATGGAGCTTGTTATCTGCTTCTCGCGATGAACTCGAATAGGAATTTTATATAACTAAACTGTTGCGCTTATCTAACAATGTTTAATGCTTGAAACTTTGCGCGAACTTACACGCGAAAATATCCGAAGAACGAGCGCCTTTTC